GTTGTTGCTAGCACCGTTGTGGCGTGGTGGCATCGTTTCTAATAGATCGGCTTCGAATTAGAACTCCCTAAGTGCCGAGTTTGCTTCCTACATCTTGCAATCTTTGTGTTCACTACGAATTCCCGTGAGCAAGGAATTTACCACAGGTTGCTTCAGACCGAGGTTAGTCGGTCGGTAGAGCGTCGGACTCGGAAGCGAAAGGTCCCCAGTTCGAGCTCCAGTTAGGGACACTCGCTTTCTTCCTTCCGAGACTGATAAACGAGTGAAAGTAATGATTAGGAAGGAAACCGGAGAATACAGACTATGCTTGTCATATAGCTGCTATCAACGCCATCACCATTCATTTCATGAAAACAAGGGTACTAGAACTGACCACATCATGTAAGTGTAAGGAAGACCAGCATTCCAACAGTTACAAACTTTCCTCCTTTACGTTTTAGAAACAGAAAGTAGAGAGTAGCATTGTATAGCAAAGGCAAAATCGCACCCTGGTGAACATCACAGTTCATAGGGAACCACTCAGATGGCTCTACTTCGATTTTGACAGCAGACATGGTTCCTGCATACATTTCTTTCAAAGCGGAAACGATGCGTTTAAGTGTCCAATAGTATTACAGAATTTTCCACATCTTTGTATTGAATTAAGTACGGCCTTAGATTCGAGAAAAGTGGCAAACCAAAGCAACTGGGTCTCTGTTGCTCAATGGCTTTACAAAGAGTGATATTTTGCCAGAACAGGAATGCTTTCTCCGGAATTCTGAATGACTTGGACAATGCCCTAACCAACTGCCTGTCTCATCGTTGCCAGGATAATCGAGGAGATGAGTTTTCCGAGAGTTGAGAATAGTGTGATACCTCACTAGTGAAAACTCTGTCACCCAATACCCTTTAAACACAGCGACAACTACGCCACACTTCCGTTCATCAAAAACGCTTAAAGATTGACGTTTGATGAAACAGGGCATGGGACAGCTCCAGCGTTTCCGTTCCTCCATATTTAATTCATTCTGAAGGAATTCGATCCACACCGCAGATATTTTCACCTTGAAGTGTACGAAGGCTGACTGGATTTCTAGTTTGTGGGTGCATCTGTACTAACCTCTAGTAATAGCAGAAAATCAACAGTTGGAAATGACGAATCCAGAGGACAGCTGCTGAGGAGCTGATGATGCTCATCTCTTGAAGCGTTTCTTTTGGCCTGACAGTGGGATACCCTCAGAGCCTTGAATAAGGACGGATCGAGCCCTCTGTCTACCAGACAACTTATCACATCAGTATAAGCCAATCACCCTTATGTCTGCCTTGTCTATCTTCCTGATTTCCTACCAGCCACAGTTCCCTGTCCCACCGGTAGCTCTGGTTGACCGCACGAACGATGCTGGGACGAGCTGTCTTCGAGGGTGTAGTAGAATGCTACCATTACTCCTTATTTGCCACTGTGCACGATTTCTTTGCGCTCAATGGGCTATGGTCATTTCCTTAACCCAATACAGTTTCTCTATCCCCTTACTGACCCCAGCTACGTCTTTCGGCGAGCAAATGACTCCTTCTTTCTGAAGTCTTTGTAGGCTCGTCGTTGTTGTCATTTCTCGACTGGACATTAAGGGAGGTAACAATATAACTCTCCACTTTCTGTTGGTAGGCCAACCGTGTCGATTCGTCATATATTAGCTTGTCAACATCGAGCAGCTTATGTGTTTCAACCGAACGACGTTGACGCTATACGCCAGTTTTAGACGAAGTTCCGTTACGACCGTTAGGCGATCGGACCCAGCGCAGGCATCACGCCTGGCCAGAGTCTCGAGTAGCGAGTTGGGCCATTTGTGATTTATAAGAACGTGATCCGGCTGGGCATTTAGGTTTCCATCGGGGGACACCCAGCTAGTCTGGTGAATAAACTTATGAGGAAAAAGAGTCACACCGACGATCAAGCAGTTCGCCCCCTCCCCCCAAAAAGAAGCTTAGCAAATGTTTGCTCTTGTCATTCGCGCAGTCAATACCGTGACGGCCGGGTACGACGGCCATGTGCTGTGCTCGGCTCCCACCTTCGCGTTGAGACC